CCATCCGCATACTATACGCATCCTCGCCATCCGCATAATACCTTGCCTCGACGCGATCAATCCCAAACCCCAGGGTATCGCGATACAGCCGCAGGGCCGCTGTATTGGAAACCCGGACGTGCAGGGATACATAGTGGGCTGCAAAGGTCTCGGCCATGGCGCGCTGGGATTGGCGCATCAGTTTTTCGGCAAGCCCGAGGCGGCGGTGGGTGCGCATGACGGAGAGGGAGGTGATGTGGCCGTGGGGGATGCCGTCGGTGGGTTCTTCTTCCATTTTGGCGAGCACGTAGCCGACGATTTTGGGGGGGTCGTAGGGGGTTTTGGGGGGGCGGGATATCTGGGGTGGGTTAGGGAGGGGGTTTGGAGGGAGGGGAGAGGAGGGGGAGGATGGGCGGTTGGACGTGTGTGTGTGTCATGTGAATCCTTCGTCCATCCCAGGTCGTGGATACCGTCTCCCAGTCCTTCCAGATGCATGTAATCCCATCTCTTTGACTTTCCTTGTCCCACTCTATCCCAAATCCATACAATTGTCTCGATGTCCCACCTTCTCCTACCTCTTTCCCGTCTTCCCCACAATCCTACCTCTTTCCCGTCTTCCCCACAACCCTACCTCTTTCCCGCCTTCCCCATACCACAAGAGTTCCGGATTCACATACACACACACATCCCCAATACAACAAACGAAAAATCCCCGCACTCACATCAACAGCCACATAGCTCAACTGCGGCCAACTCATCGCATGATACAAATAATACTTGCAAAAGTAATTCTCGGGCAGATTGGTAATATTCGCAAGCTGCACATGCGGTATATCGCTTGGCCGTAGGACTCGGATATCCATTTTTCTTCTCGTTCTTTGTTGAATCCTTTGCTGGCGCTTGGGAGGATTCGTTCCTTGTAGCTGTTTTCCCTGGAATTCGTGGGGTGTGTTTGTGTCCCAAGCTCTTATTTGTTGGCGTGTGTTGGGTTGATGGTGGGTTTGGTGGTTGTGCGCGGGGGCGTGTAGGTGGATTTTGGGAAAGGGCTTGGTGAGGGCGTTGGAGGGGCGCTAGGGTGGATGGGGAGGGAGGTGCTGTACGTGATTGGTTGGGTGGGGTTGGTGGGTTATGTAAGCGTTGGTTAGGTAAGATGGCGGTTGTTGGGGTTGAGGACTTCCAGTCTTTCGAAGATTGTTTCAACATTGGATTTACAACATTATTTGGGCTTAGGCTTTAGTGACGAGCTTTTCAAGATTTTATTGTTATCTGTACATGTATCGATAGATAATTATCGATCGCTTGTAAATACCACACGCTGCCTGCAATTGTTATACCTACATCTTGTCCATGGCAACTGGGCACCGACTAATGAGTAATCACTAATGACATCTCCATATTCAACTGCGCCTAAGATATGCAGGTAGGGAAAGCGTCTTCGCTAGACCCTACTCACACCGTTGCTGCTGTGTAGTCACATCAAGCTTTCTCCTCTCAAATCCCAAAGCCACACACAGCTCGTCCTCGAATCCTTGCTGCTCTACCACCTCCAAAACGTAGTGCAGATGCACTTTTTCCAGTGCTAGGAAGATATCCGTAATCTGCAACCCCAATCCAGCCGGTCTTACTATCAGCACGTTCACTGTCCACGTGGGGAACGCGAGCGCTTTGATATTCTTGCAGCCTTGCTCATGCTGCAGTGTACCAGTGTCGGGGTTGACGTGGATCCCTCCAACGATTTCGAAGGTAGGGATCGAGTACAGAAGGGTAGATGTCTTGGAATGCAGTTGGCGACATGCGAGAAGGATAGTGTTTGGGCCACAGACCCGGTGATCCTGTATAGGCAAGTAAACCACAAAATCGAAAACAAACTGCTTGCTAGACTTGTAACTATTTAGACAAAAGACTTGGAGTACTGGAAAAAAGTAACACTTCTGATTCGTCTCACCCGAACAAATCACATCTCTAGTCTCTACTTCAGTTTCCAAACAAGCCATGTAGCCTCCAACCTTTTACCACACCTCTACACGCATCCAAGAACTGATTTACACTCTTAGTCCTACTAGCAAGCCCATGTTGCTCATCTCCAAAAGGGCAAAGGAAATCAAACCTTCTTGTATATCTTACCGGCTGCTATGACGCAACTTAACCCAGCATGCATTCCGTCTCAGAAAGAAAGGAAAGAAGTAAAACAGCAGCATGGAATTCATCAGCCGTGTAGGCAACGATGTGAATACTCCAGTACACCATTTCGTATCCCTAGTATCTCATCCCCTACTATCAAGGTTGACGAGCAGTGGGCTAGTTTACTTCGTAGATGCTCGAGGTGGGTGGGAGGTGCCATCATCTGTATTCTACTATTCAAGGGTTGCACGTAATTCCAGTGATAGTGGCACAACGCCCCCTTCCTACAACTTTGACCAAGATACTATGAGTTTGCATTCAAAATGACTACTATCTCCATTGCTACATATACATACATGCACGCTAAATCTCAACATTTTCCACCCTATTTAAGAAAAAAAAAAGCACACAAGAACACCGGTATTCTGACACATCAGGTCCCCGCAAAATACCGCCTTGGACAACACGAACACGCGCACATCGATGCCATGTGTGCAACGTCGAAAAACTAGCCTCCTGAAGAAAACCCCCAGAAAAAAGAAAAAACTCCGGCGGATGCAAACGCAAAACCAGTTCTAGGCGTCACCATAGTCCCACTTACACACCATCGATGCTGCATGGCCTTCATATCCGTCATTCCTGCTCTCAGCGTCCAAGAATTCCGTCAACCTTGGGCTTAACCTTTTGCATGTATCCCTCCACAACAGGGACATACAAAGCCTTCTTGATACCCAGGTCCGTAGCAATGAAATAGAGCATACGATTGAGCCATTCGCGCCGTGCAGCAACGTCGATGGTATGACTAGCATCGCGCTGTAATTGCGCGACTGGAAGATCATACGGGTGCGCGGGGCCAGAGTCGAAAATATGCCCCTTGCTGGCTGTCTCGTGAGGTGCAGATGGGGGCCTGGGAGAGGAGTTTGTGGGTGCTTGTGGGGCAGAGGGAGGAGGCGAGGAGGAATGCTCCACGGGGAGCTTGGGCGGGAGTTTGGAGAGTTCGGTGAACTGGGGGGCTGTAGCGTAGGAATCCGGGTAGGGTGAGGATGTCTCGGTTGCGAGGATGACGGGAGCCTGTTGTTGTTGCTGCTGTGGAATCGGCACTGGCGGCGAAACTTGACGTGTGGATTGGAGGTCGAGGGTAGGGGTTGAGTCGTTTGAGTCCGTGATGAGGCCGGATCCTAGGATTGCGTCCATGACGCCGAGAGGCCAAAGACTAACGTATCCTCTCATGCCTGAAAGATCGCCCGCTCGCTTGTCGATGATGGGGACGGTCAAGTTGCTGAAGACGGCGGAGCAGCTCTTTTCGAGGACATCGATGAGATGAGCCGTAGCAATCGCATGATGGGTTCGCAATGCTGTGTCACCTAGACGGGCAGGGTCCAGTTGATATGGCGATATAAAAGCGTTTGTGTGATCCTGAACATCGTTGCTTGCAGGGTCCAGATTTGAAATGGGCAGTCGGAACATCCAATTGATCATTTCCAGGATGTCGCGCAACAGGAACATCCAAGCCGTACGATAGAAGCCCCAGATCCAGCATCGCTTCAAATTCGGATACGTGTGAATCTCACGTGGTGCTCCAATACAGTCAAGAACAAGCTCATGCCACTTCCTCTCGAATCTTGCCCGTGCTCCAGGCGTGTTGGGTTCCATGTGATACCTCCACCCACGTGGAACGTCAGCTTCCCAGGCTTGGAACGCAGCCTCAAGGTCGAGCGCACTTTGTAACAAATCTTGCAAGTCTGCCCGGCTCGTAGGTAGGCTTTGGCTACGCTTGATGTCGTGCCATTGAGCGTGTATATTTGCCTCCCGCCAAATGAGTCGAACGACATAAACATTAGTATTACTGTAAAGACTGGGAAGATGTCGCTCAACACTAGCTACATCTTTCATGTGTAGAGGCGGACGTTTTGCCGTTTGCAAATTTCCCAGAAGCTAATGTAACGAGTCAGCCAGTCATCCAAGCAGTCGCAAGAGAGCAAACCCTCACCATCTGGCAGTATGAGACCTCATAGAGTTTTGCAGATATTGGGTTGCTATAGAATTCATCAACGGACCGGAGCTGCAGTAGGGCGTTGGCACCATGTTGGTGTGCAATAAACGTCCCTTTGCGCTGCAAGGTTGTCATGTTTTCGTATACTCCCAGCATATATACGGAGCACAAGGTTTCATCAGTCGCCGCCATCTTCTTGTCGGCGACCATCTTTGAGATCAAGTTGATACCCTTTGCCATGCATTCCTCCGCCAAGACCATGGCCTGGGGAGCACTGCATCTATTCGCATAGTTGACGTAGGCGACAGCGTCAAACACAGTGTGGAAGCATGAGCCCTCTGCAGCATTCTCATATATGACAGGGATGAAAGCCCATAGGGAATCCGTCGGCTCATCCGGTGGCCTGTTCGGATTATCCGGAGAGACAAAGTCGTATATGAAACGGTCGTAGGCTAGTTGGCGAAGATCTGGTTCGACGCATGGGGTGATGTGCATGTTTGCTAGATCGGGAATCGGCGCGACTACGTCGGATGCCTTAGGCATGTACTCTTCTACGGATCCATGGGGTGAGGAGTGATGACTGTGTTGGCCACCAACATTCGATTGGTGGATGGCAGTTGGAGAGGACTCATTGCTTGGTGGAGACGTATTACTCATGCTACTCTCACTGACTTCACGCTGATTGGACTTTGATCGTTTCCTCCATGATTCTTCTGCTCTTTGGGCTGCCGAGGCAGTCTGATTACGAAATAGTAGGTCTCCCTGATCTCTGTACTTGCAGGCGAGGCTCGACTTGACACATCGACTGCAGATGGGCTTCTTTTCGTCACACTGGCATGGACGTTAGTTGTCGCTATATTCGGCATCCGGCTGTTCCTCTGAATCCTATCCTATTCCTTGTCGACAGCCAAATACTCGGTAGCGATGGCCGCAACATGCACATGAGCGGTGAGACTGACCTTGACTTTTCTTGCTCGACAAGACTCACACCCTTTGCTCGGCCGTCCGCGGTAGGACATTCTCCAGAAATCCACACGACTCGCGCCAGGGGCGTGAAACGACGGTGGCGCAACGAGGCCTGAGCGTGATGTATAGCAGCAAGTCGGGCAGAACGCAAGCTTCAACAAGAGGTGAACACAGGAATTGATGTCTCTTTGAACAAACGTTCAGGAGCGGCCCGCGTGCAAGCCTAATAATATGATGTTCTGTTACTCTCACTGGCGTCGTGCCGTGGCCCGTTGGATAGCCGGCGACGCCCAAACGAAAAAGGGCCGATAAGAGCTCCGGCGAATGTGGAACACACACAAGGCAGATGGTGAGGCTGTGCGTGCTTTCGCGGGGCCCGTCGGCTAGAATTCCGATAGCTGACGGGAAGCAGAGCCTTACATAGTAGGGGTAGAATTCTGGGGTGGAGGTTTGATCGCCTGCCCAATTGAGCTTGTAGCCGTAAAATAACGGTCTTGCATAGACCACGTGCGGGTGCATGCGTCGCAAGCGACAATAGAGTACCTGGCCAACACCACACACACACACACACACACACACACACACACAGTAATCTACCTCTACACACACACCAGCCAGCCCTCATTCAAAGCTTGCTGACTCAAGCCTGACGAATGCGCCTTGGCGGTAGAAAAACCCACTGATCTACCGGTACCGTCCTTCATCCTGGGCCATCACCGACAAAATACGTATTGTACCGGTAATTGCCCATGCCCACTGGGTGCCCAACCCTTTCAAGGCTCCTCACCAGGAATTACACCGTGCGACTGGAGAGGTACGGCAGTCAGTGTGGACAGGAGCAGGCACAGTGTACACAATACATGGGGCATCAGCGGGAGTGGATTAGGGGGTTGGGTACGTAGAACTTGTTCATGCATATTTTTACGCCTGAGACAAGCTTCATTTAGATGTCCTTTTTGAGTAAAAGTAGGGATCATCAGGATCGCATGCTTACCATACTATGTACATGGAAACGGTAGATGTACCGGTAAGTAAGAAACTTATAAAAGTTTGCAGTCCGTGTGGTCTGCTTCGTTTATAGTTGCTGACACCCAGCTTAGTACAAACAATCGATAGGTACCGGTAACACCAGACCGCTTGGCAGATCGACGTCAGAATACGACTGGCTACCGAACCTACAAACAACACGATCAACGCATTTGAGATCTACATAATTGCGCCCAAGATCCGTCGTTCTCGACTGTGAACACGAGTATACCCATACTTGTTACAACACACATAGCAGACCATGGTACTGGGCATGGCTTTCAGGTCCAAATTTATCAACGGCTGGCCAGGAAGCCCATGCCAGAACATAGTGCGTCGCATCGGGCCGTGGTAATTAATCCAAAAAACGGCCTGTTCGACGTAATCATACCATTTTGATCAAGGATCCACCTTTTAACACCGCACGACGCCTTACAGCGGATGTATCCTTCCAGTGTCTCACAATTCTTTGAAGAACGAGACGAGTATGTTAGACGCTAATCGCCTTGAAACATTTCGAATGCGGAGCCGAAAAAAAAGCAAAACATCGAGTCATTGAAGATATTCCCTCTCATGTCCCATGACATGGCTTTTGTGAAATAGTGAAGCTGTTCGCAGGGCCAAGAACGAGCTTCTCCGTCGACTGGCTCTCTCCCCATCTTTCACAGTCTCAGAGCTTGGCCAACGCACCCCTCCATTTTTCGCCACTACCCAGCGCTAGCTCTTTGCTTCGTCAATTTGGTGTTGATGTCACCTTGTTCAATGGATTGTTGCGATGCGCCATATCAAACAGCTCTTCATACACCCTGCCGTCTGATCTTCCTAGCGCGCTGTTGAGAAGCCAGTCTGGTATCGACCACGCATCCACAAGCTTCACAGCATTCGGCCCCAGCTCGCCTGATATTCAGTATCACATCCTGAAGGTCATACACTACTTCTGGCGAGACTGCTGCCGTCATAGTAAACGACGAAGCAAACTAGTCAAGCGAGTGAAGTGCATATGGGCGAAAGCATATTCGCGGGACACCTGGAGTAAGCGATGATAGGGTTGCACTGCTGTTACTGAAGCTGTTGTAGAAGTTGGTGACGAGGAACAGCCCCCAATATGCACGACTGAGGTTGTGCAACTGTATCATCAGCTTCGTCCAGGGTTTTCTTCTCCACGACACGAGCCTAGTAGGCACGGTAGGACAGATCTGCTGCACGCTAATGGATAACTTCAAAGATAACCTGGTTGCGTACTCTGCCATCTCTGTTGACGCTCTGGAAAATATGATGATTCCTGTTCTTCAGATACGACTGGAAGAGCGAATCGGTCGAGTCTCTCGCTAGTACACTAGGCCCCTTTATCACCTGGCTCATTGTTTTGACCAGAAATGCAGCAATCTGAGCTGTAACTACATAATCGTCGGCTTCTATGGTGGGTTCTGGAGAGATAATCGGAATTGAGTCCGACGAGGCCACTGCTACCACCAAACCCGTGACCGTCCATTGCGTGACGACAAGTTTCGATACCGTCTGCAGCTAGCATTGTGCAGAGGCTTTTCAGCCCACTGATTGCACTGTGTAACTCTGCCAATGGACCGAAGTCACCCTTCTCGATAGTCTCGCGCGACTTGTGGTACAGCATGTACATATATTCGCCTGTGTAATGCAGGGCGAAAGTCATCGGTAGTAGCGGTAAAATATATATCTGTACCGTGGGATAGTCGAGCACCTTCACTCCTGGCCCGAAGAAGATTGACTGTCACAGTCTTTCAATTGTCGTCGTATGGGGCAATATCGCACAGCGATTGTGACAGCACGTGCCAGGACCAACCTTGCGTGCATGATGATCTGGCATCGCACGAAAGTAAGGCTACCGTACACGACGGCTGGACGCCCAGTCCCTATAAACGCTCCCATCTCGTCACATACGTCGGCGTAGAGAGACAGCACGGCCGATCAAGGGACACGGTGATGATTGAAGAGCATGTAACCATTGTTCATGGACGCATAACTATACTTCGGACCGGTATAATCTACTGCAATGCTCGGAAACGGCTGATGTGATTTCTCGTCCCGAATCTGAAGGATTAAAGTCTACGGGCCGTGTTCATCGTGTTCGGCATCGGAGAGGCTGTCGATAGGAGGAGGGCCGGAGGCTTTGCTTCTCGAGAGCTTCGGTAAAAGCAGCTGTGCAACCACGATCTGCAGATGGCGCGCGTGGGTACTCTAGTTCAAGGAAGATTTAAAGTTGGCGAGTAGGTGGTACGGTAAGGGTTGTGTGACACGTACAGCATGTGTGGCGGTACGACCCATCCATCCATTCCACCACTTGCTTGAGGTCAGAAAGGGACCGTGTATCTTGAATTCCTTCTTGACAGGGTCTCACTTTGCATTCGTTTCCAAGCTTCGCACGTTGCTGCCATGGCTGAGTTCAGTCTGCGTGTAACAGCCAATGATGCCGTTCGAGGATCCTGGGCATCCAGTGCTATCATTGCTCCTCAGATCCCTGCTCGCGTACAGTAGTGACTGTAAGAGGCTGTCAGTCAGCTAACGCCCAGGTGGCACATGCATGCACGCCATCTCGACTAGAAGATTGGCCAACTACAGAACATGCTCATAGGCAAACAGTAAGGACTCATCTCCTCGTTGAGATGTTCCTCCATCTGATCTGGGAGTCCTCATGGCTCCAGAGCTCTCTACTGATGAGGCGCTGGATTGCTTTGACTCTCGCCAGGCCTAGATGATAGCGTTGTGACCGGGAGAGTTTCACCTGTTGGTCCTTGTCAAGCAGTTTATCTTTGCTCAAGACCCAGAGCACCTTCTCTTGCCGCTCCAGGAAGTCATTGCGATCAAGGAGGTGCTATGCCAGCTGGGTCACGTCGATTGACGAGCCGTCTCGCTCAGCCTGAAGTGCTGCTGTGCCATCCTGAGCCGTCTTGAGATGATCGGTGAAGTCCATCGCTCAATCGGTCGGTCGTGCGTCTCATCTATGATCAAACAAAGCGAGATGCAGGTGCCAGCGTGTCGTCCTTCATACAACATTGCTCATGCCAGAGCAAAAGGAGCAGCGAGCACATCATGGATAATCGAAGTTTGAAGTAGTGTCAGGGAATAAGGCTGAGGAGTAGGTCGTGCGACAGCCTCGGTACGACTTATGGCTGAGGCGTGGCTTGAGAGTGGATAGTTCTGTAAAGGAGAGAGGTTGATGGAGTGCGTCACAATGCGGGGTGCCGCCTAATGTGCCGCCTGCCGTGTGGGGGGCAATTCTCGGTTCTTCACTTTGGCCCGAACATTTGCGTGACCGCTCGTATTGTTCCGGCAGTATCAAGTTCATGTTGGAGAGATATGATAAGCAGCTAAGACAAAGGAGCTCAGGCTTTAGAGTCCAATGCAGGCCTTCAAGGAAGTAGCCATGCTGCAAAATGCAAGCGTCTATAACAGGTAAATATCTGTCGCTCTAGCTAAACCATGCTGTGCGAGCATAGACAACCATTGTGCTCTCCCAAAATCAGACAAAAAACAAATCTAGTCGTACAGGATATCAGAGGTCCAGACCAACCGACCTAGAAGAAAACGCCGCTAATCATGATGAATACCTAATACTCTGTGAATGAAAACGTTAAACAAGTCATCATGAACAAGTGGCGCCGGTACACCTGAAGAACCTTACAGAGGTTCGCTCATCAACATACCGGTTGCTGTCAAAGCTAGCAGCCTCACTCAATCGCAGCATCCGCCCAACTACTCAGACCGCCTTCTTCCTTTAACACGCGGTCCATATCCTCTTCTGCAAGTCGAACCAGGATTTCGAAGGGTGCTTCTGTGCCATTCATAGGCTGTCTCCTACGTGGGAGGAATATAATACCGCCGTCTCCTGGACCATACGATCGTCGGATGAATTCAGGCCGGCCATTGAGTGACTTTTCAGCAAGATCGGTACCAGGTATACCCCAGCGCAAATCTGCTCCGAAGTTCAGCCACGAGGTGATGTAGATGTCGGCTCCAAAACTCAAGGCCAATGCGCATTCTGTGTCGGTGATGCGCTCAATGGATTTGAAGAAGGCCAGGTGGCGTGATATCCAGTCATTGTCGACCCCGAGTATCGTGCTCTTAATCTTCCGTATGACATCGATGATGGTGCGTTGTGTGACACTACATGATGCACGTCAGTTACGTTCTCCAGGATGCCCTGTGTATGATCTGACCACGAGGCCCCTTGCAACGCAGGGTATGACAGATCGACAACGCGTATGATGAAACTAACTCACTGGTTCTCCGCTGTCAGGTCAGCGACGTTGAGCGTACCTCGAGAGAAGAGCGCCATGTTGCCCATGTAATCTGCTGGTACCGGGGGTTGTTGCCGCCTTCGCAGATCTGTTGCAATGCCGATGTTTGTTGTCGTATACTTACTCTTGATCAAGCGATCTGCTCTTGCTCGAGTGACGTGAGTCCATACTAGAGCAGCCAGGACGTTGCACATAGTTGGAGGGGTATCCTTGGGGAAATGCGGTCGGAGCCGTTCTCGGTAAGCCCGAACACGCGCCGCCGGAATGACCAGAAGTCGTTGAGTACACTTGGTGTCCCTGGGTAAAGTCTTGCGATATTCGTACGTCCCATCGCAGTAGCAATCTGCAACCTGAACATCACCTGGTCTTGATGGGACATTGTCGATCGCGACCCGCATCTTTGACTGAGCATCGGCTACGCTCGAAGATTCTGCCCTGGTCAGCGGGGGCCCTGAGCAATGTCGAGATGGTCAAATACCAAAACGCTCATGTTCTTCGAGCGTTCGTAGTCCAGAGACCCGGGAGACATTTGCGCAGTAGGTTTGCCAAAAGGTGGTGACGCCAGAGAAGTCCAAGACGCTGTGATGCATATACATAGACAGAACAAGGCCACCAGGGATGAAATAGGCCTGAACTCTCATAGCTGGTGCGTCGCTTTTCTCGAAGTCGACTTTGCCTTCTCCATTGGCTGGAATGCCTGGGTAGTTGGCAAAATCTTCTGGCACAAACGTGGCGCTCTTGAAAGCACTTGGCGGCATTCCTCGTCGTTTAAGTTGCTCGTAAGTGTGCGGAAAGGTCTCAGGATGTAACGGAATTTGCCTCGACCGGAACATGCAAGCCATCTCTTCGTCTGAAATTTCGACTGGATACTCCAAGGCCAGTCTTCCTGTTTCTCGATTGGCCAATGTGAGTGTACCAGCGAGAAATGGAAACCTCTTCAGAGAGAGGCGAAGCCCCGCGGTCAGAGCGTGGATAGCTGCCTCTGCTTCATTTTGATCGGGGAACTGTGACGGTTAATTGCAATGAACAGAAGTAAAACATGGGCAGGGATTCACTGACTGGAAATATAGATAATGTCTGCGTATACACTCGAACCACGTTCTGGTCCAGATGGGATAGATGAAATATTTTCGTCCGCTTGGGCGGCGGAGACACTGATTTGACGATCATCTTGACAAGGCAAGAAGCGCTGCTAGCGATAGACTCCAGGGGCCAGGGCTTGCGCGATACTAACGGGAGGTCTAACATAATCAGGGGCTATGATAATGAGTTTATATACCGGTATGGGGAAGAGTCACACATGCCGTGACTTTGGGTGAGCAAACACGCAGGAAGTGAAGCACGAGATGTCATTTTACCCCTTCACCGCAAGGTCCTTCGAGTGCATTTGTGTAACGGCAGCGGCATTGGCCTGCGCTTCGACGTTTGGAACGGGCCGAGTGGGCTAAGACCAGCTACCGCCGCATTTGGCAACATCTTCATGTTGCACAGACTCGTCTCACCCGCTTCCCCGACACGTCCCCAACTAGTACTGCTTATTTGAGACTCGCATCCATACCCGTGGTCCTCATAAGAGGTTTTGTGCCGCTTCCCCGTCTGCCTTGTTCGGCCGTGCCTGAGCAACAGGCGTCGCGGAAGCGGACACGATGTTGCCGCTGCGCGAACGTTCAACGAGCGTCTCCACCGAGTTGGGATGCAAAGGGCAAGGGGTCAGTCCCGGGTTTTGCTTTTGCGGTCGCCAACTCCCACTCATTGGAGCGGAGGTCAGGCGACAGCACACAGCAGCATGTAGAGATCGATTATGCCATCTTTGACGCCCAGATCCTAGGCCGACAGGGTTCGGTGCGTACGTAATCGGCATCCTTTGCTTGCCTCGTCTATCGCTTTTGGACAGGCTGACATTCTGACGTCCTTCCATGCTGCTGCGGACAAGGGCAAGGGCATAACTGTACGGCATCGTCCCCACAGGGCCGATCGCACTTGGGTGCGTTGATACCACTGGCCTGGAGTGACCGAAAGCCACAGCTGAGCTGCCACGACAAGATGCCCCACGGCTCATGCTACCTTAAGCGCGAACAGTATAACAATGTGACAGGAAAAACCTGCGGTCCACGGTCCTTCTATGCGCAGCAACGCGCATCCTACGACCAGGTATACGGAAGGCTGTGACTGGGCACCATTTACGCCCAACGACGTAACGCATATTGGTGTCACGTCAGATACCCTCAAATAGCACCTAGGTAGCGGTGAGCTATGCTCGAGTTGGCGGAGACAGGTGAGGTGTATGCCAGAGGGCGTCGACTTAGATAGGTAAGCCTCTTGGGAGACACGTCGCGGGTGCACTGCCGGCTAGTGGGTCGCGCTCATATGGATTGCCAGCAGGCACAGGCATAGCTCCCATGTAATCAGCGATGTCAGCCAAAGGGTAAGATGACGCAGCAGACGGTTCGGCTGTGGATTTCATAAATTGAGGTATTAAGCGCCGTAAGCTTTGCACTATGCGGTCAATTCCATAAGTACAGCCTTCGTCAGGTCGTTGCATGCGAAGAGTATGGAATGATTCCGCCAGATCCCTCGGCCATATTCGTCACAACACTGTTGGAGCCAAAGAATGTGTCAACGCGCAGGACCTGTCGGATCCTTGTGCGAATCCGTGTATAATGTAGGTACAGAGTTGGGGCATCCTATGCCACACGACACCCAACTTGAGTAGAGTAGCCGAATGGTTACGGGTCGGAATGTGCACAGCACAGGCGTGATCCCAATACAATGTGAGACCAGTTCACCGGAAGGATTCTCCGAAGTGATGATGTTGCACACCGGAAGAGTTGCAAGATGGCGACAATGGAAAGGAATTGACGCCCAAGTGGCCCCTATGCTAATTGGGCTGCAAGTCTTGGCCAAGAGCAAAGGGCTAAGATGAGGACTGGCGTCGCCTGAATGAGAACACGGATTCGATATATCGAGATGTACAAACACTCGAACGTGCAATCTTCAGAGGGTCGTTCCCGGCGTAGCGTTTGTGAGCTGAGCGCGATCCGCACCGAGCTGCGTCCCGCTCCGAGCCGTCGAAGCAAGGGGTAACCAACATGGGTGGCCTGTGACGGCAATGTCTGGACATGATGATTATTGTCCGCGCGCACGCTTGGTATTGTGTCAGCTCAACTCTACATCACTTTTCATACTTTCCCATGATGATCTTCCAGGCAGCTAGCGCCGGAGACGATGATGCTGCGGGGTCGTGGAATCGTGGACCTTCAGGGTGCTCCCCCACCATCTCAACACAAAGATCGACGAAAGCGAGAGCCGATGATTGCCTGGGGAGTAGATGACTCTTTTCGAAGAGTAGCTAGTCATGTGTGCCTAGATGGCTTGTGTCTGCCCTCCGCATAGTTGGGGCATCCGTGCAGAGGGTCTTCGCAAAAGCTGACATGATCGGAAAAGGCGCCGGGATGGAGGACCGATGTTGCATAGTACCAACACATAAGGGCTATAGCGGGCTCCCAGCACCGTAGGCTTTTCTCTGCGGGCTGGAAGTTTTGAAATGAACTGTCGAAGTTTGTTGACGTGTGCCAGCCTCTGTTCAGTCGTCTCTCACGTTACCTACGCTACCGGGACCCCAGCACGCATTGCAATAGATGCTGACCAGTCAAATTGCCAGAAAACTCATCTGGAGCTGCGGTCCGATGCTCTATCCCATCGTGAAATTACATTCGGAATGCTTGGTGGGTCGTTCCTCGAGGCACTGCGTCGCAGTCTGACAGAGAAGAAGTCTAAATTGCTATCGTGGCGACGGAAAGATACGAACATACAGTACCTATGCTTGCTGTTCTAGCACTCGAAGCCGCTGCAGTCCCGATTGCACCCGCGCTACTCGTAGAAGAATCAGCATAGTCCGTCGAGAAGTCGAGAAGTGTACTGGTCCTTGCTCGTACTTTTGACTTGAAGAAATGCTCTGACCTGGAGAAGCATATTGCATCCACGAGCAATGAGTATTACAGGGGTGTACTAATTGATCCATGCATATTCAAACTTAACCTCCAGCTGGAGGAGATAACTGTGTACTTGGATCGTGCCTTGAAAAGAGAATGCGCCTGCTGTTGTGAATGCGAAGGTCTTTCGTATTCGATTATGCACTTTTGGTCCCAGACCACTACCGGTACATACTTACTGAAGACGCTATGCCGTTGCACGATTTGCCAGTGGACCATACAACTGGCTTTGCCGTCGACTTCTTCCCATTCCTCATATCTGGATGTCGCATCGAATCCCGCGACAGTAACTTTGATACGTGTGTAAGTCGGAGCGATGGAAATAGGGTGCTATTGAACTTTCGTCTGCGGTTAACCTTTTTCTCTAGAGTTCCTACCATATAGGCGCATGAGGCGGCACTATCCACGAACCTTGCAGAGGCTTCCAGCCAGAGAGATGGCAGAGTACGTTGCAAACAGCCAAGCTATTCCGAGCCTACTCATGCGGAGCTTCTGCGCTAACTCGAGCGCTCGATGACTTTTGGACGACGCTTACAGAAGAAAAAATAACAGTGTTATGGTGCCACATAGTTTGGGGTTGCTTTCAAAGTGTGTTTTGGTAACAATAGAGTGCTGGACGGGCCGGTAAGGATGATCGGCAGTCACTTTGGTGTGCGACTTTCTGAGGGTAACGAGAAGGAAGTTCTTGTCGATAGTGCAATAAGTTCTTCCCAACATAGATTTTGTTATAATCTTCTAACCCGGTTAGCATATGTTTTTTAAATATCTCTAAGACCCTAAGGCGGCTACGAAATATCATGACCAAGGATACTTTAAGACGGGCGATATCCGATGCAAAGAGGAAGGTTGCTTCTGCATCCTTATACAGGTGGTTATCTCTTAAAATCATCAAATCTGGAGGCCACAAGCTCTCAACGCTTGATATCAAACACGAGCTCCTAGATTTGCTATATGTTACTGAAGCCATGGTTGGGGGCGGAATTTTGGGCAGCGTCTCGCAACTCTAACTTCTTCAAAGGATGGCTTGACAATTTTTTTTTGAACCCATGAAGTTCTTGGTCACCATCAAAGATGTGTAGCGGGATGTGCGCGACAGGTTCACGGGATAGAAATTGCTTACGCTCCTTCGTGTTGTCAGTGGTGAATGACCAAAGACTGTGACTGTATAGCACAGGAAAAATTGCTTGGGCCGCAATTCTCTCCAGCAGACCAGACTTGCTCCGAAGTGCACCAGTGGGGGATGACTTTGAGACAGGCAGCGAGATTGTGAGAGACAAAGTATCACAGACGAGAACCACAGCTCCAGTAGCTCTTTCGAATTCAATTAGGTGGCGGCGCTTGTAAAATCAGTGGTTTGACGGACTTTGAAAGACGAGCGTGAAGGATTCATGTACGGGGAAGAAAAGGGATCGTGCGTCGAAGGTCAGTATTACGTTAATTTAGCGCGCCTTACAGGTAATCGCGCCTGCCCCTTTCCAGCTGCTCTCCAGTTCGCACGGCCGCCCATCCTTGTCACACCGCCGGTCATGTCATGCCTAGTCAGCAATAGTTCTAACTTCTATGCCTGTCGAGGTCATATACTCTCTCTTAGGTATGAGCTCTATGTCCAGCAGTGGTCCATCATGTCGCATCTCGTAGATCTACCAGAAGCCACGTATCTTTGCCGTCCTTAAGATTAAGATTTAGACACATTTGAAAAAGATTCTTGACAGAAATAGATCAACAGCCATATCGCCACCTTTGCATACTCCTACGCTGAGGCCTTTGCTAACCTTGTCACAGACACGTTTAGAGGCAAGCTTTTCAATAGAACCAGCTCGTTGTAGAATTCACTCGCTGAAGCTACTAGGTTCCACACCGTGAATTGAGACGATCACAGCGAGCCATGAAGATCCACAGACCGCCTTGCGCTTTTCGACATCATGACATGCAGGAATAAACTTAGCCAAGTAGGATGACAATCATCTTCTTTTCAGCACTCTCGATCAAGATTCTGAGCCCATATTACCATGCAGTCTATCCTCGACTTTTCACTACATAAATGGCGGTCCACTACAGCTCAGGTATGAATTACTTGTGCGGCCGGCGATACCCACCTGAGCACTTGGCCACTGCTGTCACAATGTGACATCTGGTATACATTCACTTGTAGAGTGTACCTGTCGCAACAGTACATAGACTCTCCCCGTTGCCTTCCCTAATGAGCCACACATTCCATCCACTCAACTCAGCACAGTAACACCGACATTCGAGGCCCACGACAATAATGTGTCCCTACAACGGGACATCTGCAGCCACACCAGAGATAGTTGGCTCCACTACCGTCCCGAATCGCGCTCCCGGTGTTGCTGAATATTTATCAAACGTCCTTGATGAGTACAAATATCACATTTGGCAGCGACAGGACGATGAACGGTCGATGATCATATCTTCCCCTTCTTTAGTTCAAGAGACACTTCCGATGTTCAAGGATCGTTGGTGTGGAGGCCCAGAGCAGCATGTCAGCGAGTTCTACCATAGAATCGAGCCAGCGCTGCGGCTGACATCTTTCCTACTGAATGAAGACTACCCTCTCCTTTGGTTTTGCCATTTTACTTTTGGCGAGCGACGTCGCGATGAACAGGGTATTTACATCGTCTCTACTGCTTATTCCCATTCAACCGACGCTATCGTGCGGGTGCGAGCCAACCTGAAGGAGCTGGGAAAGGTGATTAGCTTTCTCTTCATGCCGCGTGAGTGGAATGAGAAGGCCTGGGGCATGAGCTTTTCTGGTCGCAAAGGTTTCCCCCGGTATTTCCGCCATTTCAAAGACCACGATTTTCCGCCTTCTCGGTCCCGCAAAGGAGCCTGTCACCCTGTTGTCGCCATATCCTCTAAGTTCCAGGATTATTTCCGACAAGACTATTCAAGAAAGAGCACACCTGGCGAGCGTTATAGGGCTCTCTACATGTTCGCGGTGACGCTTGGACACGAAATTGCGCATGCCTATAAACAATGGCTCGTCAGAACTGGACCTTCTGAATCCAAAGAGGAACCTCGCTGGTGCAAACGAGACAAGATCCACGAACTTGGATTTTCATGGGAGACACATATCATGGGTCATGTTACGGATCCGACGCAGTCTGAGAGGGGAAGTTTCCCCTATCTTTGCTCATTACACCTTGAAGATTACTCCTCGCTGGCCGATCGTGCGGTATTCGTGCGCAAGCTCAAAGGCCATTCCAAAGCTGAATTTACAACACGAGATGTCGCCGGTATCCATCGACAATGGACAGCCCTCACTCCTTCGGAATTTCGCGGCGGGAAATGGTTCCTTGATCCGAAAGCAACAGCCTTCCTGGCTAGCTACCAGGTCATACCATTACAGTGGGTTATGGACTGGTTCAGCGAAGATGTCATGTCGCGTCGTAGAGCCGAATGGGAGCTAGCACGGTGTTATAAAACAACACCTTTGCCTGACACATTCATGATCATATACGAGCGGAATGCGAAGGGTATTCATATTCAGCGACCCCTCAACCCCCACTTTCCTATCGATTGTGACATCATGCAGCAGAGAAGGAGGTTGCAAGCGAACGGAGGGCAATAGAAAATTCGGATAGGAGCTCTCCTTTCGGCCTTTCGGATATGGCACCATCCCCAATGAACCCTGGAGGAGAAGACGCGAGAATTCCTGATACGGTATCTACCCATCCACCTCTTGTATTACCGAGATCTCGACATGTTCCGGCGGCATGCCATGAGCTCTTTTCTAAACGAGGTTCCTTGTCTGGCATCCGCCCTCTTCTCATACCGTAGTAGGCTGATGTCTGCTAGAGTCATTTGCTTCTCCACATTTTTGGGAATGCGGACTTGCATGCATTAATTAACACATCTAAGTATAAAAATTTCAATCATTCTATCGAGCTTCTCACACTTTGCCTGTGGCCCTGATGACCCTACTGTTGGCGTTGCAGGCCGGTCGGCCAGTTCTTACATAACAACATCGGCCAACGTTTGCCTCGGCACGTATTACTGCATTGACTTCTCAAACGGCACAATATGATATCGGGGCTGGAAATTACTTTTGAATGTTGTCCTAACGTAGCTCACTGGCAGCTGCTATATTGTCACCATTGTTATGTATGTGGTGACGTAGTTTTGCGGGCCTCGTCATCACCATCTCCAACTGCTGACAAAAGACTCGAGTCTCGGCATCGGAAACTGGAAATCGCACCGGCTTCGATCCGGCAATGGGTACTAGAGCTGAGCTTTTGACCCCAACCTACGTCCGTCACAAACTCCATTTGGAATTCATACTAGAGTCTCATCGAAGCCATGCAATTGGCCGACCAGAGAGGAATCACTCGGAGATATCGCTCTGAAGGTAGTACCTTGGCTTACTGCCTTGCTACCCCACCCCCACCTCGAAGGTCAAAGTGACGATTTAAAGACCCCTCATATTGCGGAACAACTCTTCACACAACTTTTCTAGACTTCCTCTTCCACCATAAACATCACTTTCATTAGATATACTTTTACACATCGACAATGGCGTGCGAGAATTGCAAGACAGGTTACAAGTGGGACGGTACCGCAATCGGCAAGGAAACCACCCTTGACAACATCAACACATATGTGACGGGCGACAACAAGGAGCGCGCTATCCTCATTATCACCGATGTCTTTGGCTGGACACTGCCCAACATCCGTCTTCTAGCGGATGCCTACGCAAAGGAAGCCAAGGCGACTGTCTACGTCCCTGATCTGTATGTGACCGGACATCCCGATCCCCACTCAATATTTTTCCCGTCTTCCCGCAGACTTTACTGACTGCACCATAGATTCGATGGCGAAGTAGTCGACCCAGACGCCATGTCCGACCCGGAAAAAGCGAAGAAATTCGACGTCATGGAGTTCCTCGGCCGCCACAACAAAGACGTTCGCTGGCCGCAAATCAAACAACATGCGCAGACGCTGAAATCGCAGTACCCCAAGGTGGGCGCAATGGGTTTCTGCTACGGCGGCTGGGCCTGTCTCAGACTGGCTGCGGACCCCAAGCTCATTGACTGCGCATCCACTGCGCATCCCTCCATGCTCGAGAAGTCTGAGGTTGATGCCGTCAAGATGCCCGTGCAATTTTTGGCGCCCGAGAACGACTTTGCGTATACGGAGGAGCTCAAGGCGTATACACACGAGGCTATGCCTAAGACGGGTGCGCCGTGGGAGTATGTGTTCTTCCCTGGTATGACGCATGGGTTTGCGGCGAGGGGAGATCCCAATGATCCTAAGCAGAGGGAGGCATTCGAGAGGGCGAAGAGGAGCGCGGTATCATGGTTCGTTGAGTACCTGCACTGAATGCAGGATACTCTTTGGGTAGCTTAGATGATGACCCAACGATATAAACATTTTGTCCCAATATTTCGATCTGCACAGGTCGATGTGCTCAAGAATACCGGTATGCCGCGGGAGTGAAATTAATAGTTGCGCAACCATTAAGCATTTGCATTCCACCTAGACTTTATACAAAGCACATCAACAAAACAATGACGTCGTGTGAACGGATCATCGTCGCCAGCGTCATGGTTTTCAGACGAAGTTTTAATTATAAAGTAATTATCGCAGCTATCATGGAATTTATGGTATGTACATAAACAGTTTACGGTGCGATGTTTATGCAGTATCCAGCTTGTCCTTCACAGACTGCAATTCACAGATTTCGTATCAAACGGTCGCCATCCTGGAGCGAGAAGCCCAACCCCAAGCGTCGACACTTCGCTTAGCCATGGCCGCCACACTCTCCGCATACGTACTAACACCATGACTTGGATCCGCATCCTTCGACTTGCAAGTCGGGCCCGACTTGAAGCCTCCAAGCTTCCCATCAACTGGAGCAAAGTGCTGCTTCTCCTTGGTCGTAGCAAGCATATTCTGCGCCGTCTCCTCAGTCCATCCATTGATGAAATCACCATGGGAAGACCAAGCAGGCCCAGATGCCAGTTTGATAGGTGCCTCTCCCGACCAACCGCTGGGCAGCACCTTGCGGAGGTCGTAGCGAATGGAGAAGCGTAGCTGAGGCATGGATTTCATTCCTGGGGGACACCGATTTGGGGTTCCATGGTCGCGCGACTTGTAGCCCGTCTCGAGGGTCTCGGTGTTGACGCACTGGGGGAAGTAGAGAAGCTGCTGGAGATGGATGTTGCATGTTTTGCTGGGGAATCCGTTGGCGTCGAGCGGGCTTTCGGGTCCACCTTCGCAGAACCATTCGGCTTTTGCGTTGGGATCCATGGCTGCTTGTGTTTTGGCGGAAGCGACACCAGCGACCATTTTCACGTCTTGCGGGATGGCGACTTCGGCAGGGGTCTCACCCAAGTTGTAGTAGGCGCTGAAACGTGATAGTGGTACGGGGTCAAATGTCTTGCCGCCGTCCTTGGTGTATAGTACGGTAGGGACCCAGTAGGTGGAGAGATCATTGGGGTTTTCCATGTTGGTGCATCCTTTGGAGAGTTCGGCGCTGGTATTGGTGGTGGCAGTGATGGCATCTGATCCATAGAAAGAGTGGAGATGGGACTTGGTGAACGAACCAGGATAGACAATGGGATCAATGTTCTTCTGCATGAAGGGAGAGGCAGCATTGATAACAGTGTAGGCATTGGCACTTGCAAGCAGGCCTGCGATGTAAAGAACGGAAGGAGACATCCTGTGTCTAGTGAAGCGAATGTTTGAGATACAACGAATGACGAATTTTTGAAAAGAACGTGGTAAGCAGGAACCGAAAGAAGCGCGATGAAGACATCGAGAATCATGCGAATGGGGTTTATATGGTGACTACTATACCTACTCAACCATGCGGCTCTGCCGACTTTCCATGCCATAGCATTCTAGATCCGTACGCCAATATCCATAAACAGCCACCAAAGTTTCAAATGCAGGATGCTCTACGCTCAAGCGAGCAGCAGCGCCGCGCCGTTTCGTTTCTGGCTGTGAGTTTAAGGAGAGACGCATGAACCCATGAGGTGATGGCCGAGGCATAACATCACGTGAATGGAACACTATTGGACAATTGACCTTGTCAAAACACTAGTTCCCACTACGATCCCGCAGTGACGGTTTCGAAACAGAAGACACCGCCTTGCATTTCCTATGCCCTTTTTTTGTTGGGCAATGCAAGTACGATACTGTGTACAAGCGAGGTCATGTTCTAGGTACAACCCGGTACATCGAAACCTCTTTGCAAGGTTGGACCAGGTGGTACCCGTAAGCCATCTTTTGCACGAATGAGATACGTTGAAGGAACATATGAGCCTCATGGATCTCAAATGCAGCCATAGCTTACGGTCCATAATCGCGTGTTGCATGGTCAGATACCCAGTGGTGCGGCTGTCGGCAGGGCTTTCAGGGGAAACACTGCTTGACGCTCGGTGACCAGACAACACGAGTTGATGTGCGCGCAGGGAACAAAAGCCAACAAACGCAGTCAAGATGGACGGCCTGCAACAACCTACACGATCCATTTTCAATGAAGACTTTGAGTCTAACCAGTATTCGAGACTCCATACTATACAAATACAAATACATATATCTTACCCAAGGATATTGCAGGTTTTCAAGAAGCTCTTCGGCATTGACTATATGTACAGCCTCGAATTTACTTGTCTGCAGCATCCAAGGGCTTATTCTGGCCATACTCCAACGTTTTCTCTCTCTTCTCTTTATCCGATTCCTTGGGATCATGCTTCATTTTATCCTGGCTTTCTGTCGTTTCTTCCGTTGCACCCAACCGCCCTTCCTCTGGCTTGCTCACAGGGTTTGCTGTCGATACGTGGTCGGCGTCATTCTTGTCCGTGCGGCCGACTGAGGCGCTTTTATTGATGCTCTGGCTCTCAGCGCTGCTGGCTTGTGGGTTTGATACGTTGGAGGTCTGACCTGGAGACGACCCATCCTTCGTAGCGTATGTGCGAGTCAAAACTGGAGCTACAACTGGAAAATATTTTAGCTCTTTGATAACCAAGATTTGTGGGGAGAAAGTACCCTGGCCACGTTCGTACAACGAGCGAGTCACAATTGGCGCTGAGCGAGAGAATCTGGAGAGGAATGTGGAAGACATGGTTCGTGTTATAGGGAATACCAAAGAAGAGCCAGAAGATACAGTTGTACTGTGAAGTTGAAAGTAATTGTAAGTTTGGAGCAGAAGTTGTTACATTTAGACGTCGAGCCGCGTTGACGTGCCCGTGATGTGTCAGTGACATCATGCGATCCTTCACTTCAAGCCTCGCCCTCAAATTATTGCGACATCACATGCATCAACTAGAGACCAGAGGGCAAACATAGGGCGTGTATTTAAGGACACAGTACAATATATGTGTATGTAATTCTCTTCGTGCTGAGGTAGTGGTGGAATCAGACGGATAAGCAACTATGCAGATGCCAAGACCTGCCATAGGACAAAGTGGTTGGATTGTCGAGGAAAACCTACGCTCAATATGGAGCCCAGAAACTTAAAAAACTAACTCGCTATTGGTTTGAGATCTGTATCACGCTGATAAATTCAAGTTTGGTTTTTCTCGCCCCTCGAATATGAATCTGCTCTGACCTGTCAATCTTGTTGAGATGTTGAAATTTATGTTTCTTACTTTACCAGTACATACCGATGTCAAATTCTTATTGAGACGAAGATTCCAGTGCGTTGATTGCTGCCTTTCAGTCAACTTCAGACACATCTCTTGCGCTGACCCCGATTCCTTCCATATTCGAACCAACTGCCAAGGGTGAAAGTCAGTCCCTGTGGACTCTTCGAGCACTTGTGAACCGTATCATAGGCCTTAATCTCAAAAAAGCAGAACATTTTTTCACTGGCCATTTATAGTTGTTTTTCTACCAGCGTTCGTCTTCATTACTCTCTACGTTCCCATTAGGGTACGGACTTCGAGTTCATGATTGATAATATACTGAAACATGACATTACCCGCATGTCGCCTATTGTCGGCACAATCATGCGAGATTCAATCATCAGAAATAGCTCGATTTGAGCAATGAACTAAACGAAAAGGAACAGGACATCGATACGACGATATGTAACACGCTAGTCTTCAGATATGCCACCTCACATGATAATTGGACAGACGACGATAAAGCGCCGCTGCAATGGCCACTTCGAATATGTGCACTTCGATTGGCGTGAGGTGATGCACTGTGTAGATCTATTCCACATTTCGTTTCGCAGTCCCACTCATGGACTTCAATAGCAACACCAAATGTGATGATTTTTACTCCGTATATGCAACGCATGAGCAATCAGGCTGATACTGAAATAAGCTGGAACCACTCTTGGAAGTCAAGTACTGGATCTTCCAGGAAACTATTGCGACAGCTGACTAAATCTTATCATACCGCCGTGGTTTTTGCAGTACGGTTCAGATCTGACGTATTTAAACTATATTTCTAGAGCAGTTTATGTGGTGATGAGTAGTATGTATTCTGATAAGTTGTCTCTTTTGTTATGAGTAGTCTATATTGTGGTCTAATGCAAGAATTAAAACAAAAATAGTAGTTACAGTGTCGAGCATACGCCCGTAGTAATCTACCATTACTTCTACTTCTATCGTTTTACTAGTATCGTATCTTACACTTGATAATGCTGTATACTCATCCTGCTTTCTACAAAGTTACTTACCAATTAATTAGTACATCCATCTCTACTGTGCTAAATCTTTTCCACCACCTCTACCGATTCGTTGATTGATTAAGTGAAGGATTAGCTGCTGAATTGATAAATTGGCCATGAATTTAGTCATGAATAGAATATAAGTAAAACTACTACTTGAAACCTCTTCTTATACACAAATGTAAACTCTAATTCAACTGCTATCATAAACCTTAGCTATTACAGTGACTATATATAAAAGTTTAGGCCTTAGATAATTAGCCCTATGCACTAATCACCTAGACTCCTAGAGCATCCCTTCCCCCAATTTTTTTTTACACCGTAGTGAGCGGGTGCCGGGGAGCGATTGTTGAAGTCAAGGGCAAGCGGGCTGCGGCGTAAATAGTTTGGAAGATTGCAGCGAGTAGATTGGTTTGGCCTTCTGGCCCGAAGATGTACCATCACGATGGTGTCTGGCTATCGGGTGAGTCGATGGTGTGATCGAAAGCTGAGGACTGGGATGAGGTCTTGTAACAAGTGCAACCCTCGTTCCATCTTAAGACCAGTGCAGCCAAGACAGACAGGCAACTGCTGATACCGCCCCGACTCGGTTCCGAGACCCCTCTGCCTCTAGGTATAAGAGGAGCCTTATATTCATAGATAGATAGACAAGTTCTTCTTGTCCTTTCGTATAAGACCTATAGGTGTAGGAATCAATTCGTTCAATCTCTATACAGACGCGCACTCCCATATGCCTTTGAGTCGTATCCGACCCCTTTCGGACGTTCCTACCTACCTGTGTCGTTATAGGTCTTGTCTGAGAGAAGTAGCTCTTATTGAGGCTAATACCACTGTAATGTGGGATGACTGCTTAGATCGAAAATGTTAAGTGAGCGTAGTTTCATGAAAATGAAAGAACTTAGCAGTTGAGAAACATTCGATGGATCATGGTGTAAGGCACCTAAGATTTGCCTCAGGTTTTCGAATAGCACAGTTACAATTAATCCTCGTCTATTCACTCTTGTCTATATAACATCGCTCTCACTATCCCATCTAAGCCAAGTAAGCCACATCAACCCAGCTCTCCTCTCTGAATCCCTGGCCAAGCAATTCCTCAACCGCGATCGCCTTATCCAACTGGCCAGCCCAGTCCACTCTCGCTGACACATTAGCACCTGGCCCCGTGTTCTGAAACTCGCGGTAGAACACATTTTCAATAGGGGCAGTATCATTCCAACGTCTCCATCCCTCCGGCTTGACCACATCGCTCAACTCACACTTCTGAAACACAGTCCGAGCGAAGGGCCTCCACGGACGGCCCAGAACCGTCGAATTCGGCCCACTTGTCCCGCCAACCTTGCACTCATTCAACACATAGTAACTAGTGTTCTCCTCGAAGTCTCGTCCGTTCGCGGTAATATAGCCCGGCCCGATACTCTCAATATCGCACTTCTCGAACCAAGCAATTGCGCGCGATCCGAAGATGAAGTCGACAGCGCCGTTGATGTAGCTCTTTGCGTAGATTTGGCGGCCAGAGTTGGCGTAGATGGTGTCCTGGTAGCCAGTAAATCTGCAGGCGTAGAAGCCCTGGTTTGTGTTTTGGGCGCTGAGGGCGAGGGCTTGCCCGTTCCTGTTGGATTGTCCAAAGGTGTTGCTGATGATGAGGTTGTAGAATTTCACGTCGGATTGCTGGAGACGAACGGTGGCGGTCTGGTCGTTTGTTGTTAGGGCTGGGTTTTGGCGGGAGAGGTTGCCGGTTATGGTGACGAGGTTGTTTTGGTCTATCGGGAGTTTTTGATTAATACTTGATGTATACTGTATATTGAGAAGAGGGTATGTAGGTAGACTGGAGGATAGGCAAAGTCAGAACTTACAGCCTCGAGCATCCTTTGTCTCTCCCTGCACGGTCAAAAGTCCTGATCGTTTAGGAAAGTGCACTTGTTCCTCATATACGCCACCAAAGATGAAGATCTTTTGCTCAGCAGTATCATTTTTCAAAGCCGCGACCGCAGAGCTGATGTTTCTGAAACTACCCTCCCATTTTCCAGAGGCATCGACGACCAAGGCACCGGTGTCAGGTTTCGTACGGTCCCATCGACTAGGTTGGGCGACGCTGCTGCTAATGGCACATGCCAAAGCAAGAATTCTGATGACGGAGAACGTCATGTTTTGTGCAAAGAATAACTGATAAATCTCAAGGAATGTGGTTGATGGTTGATAGAGAAACCCGGTCAGTTGAACGAACCAGACGTGGTATTTGTAGTAGAACTCCTGCTAGGTACTATGGCAGTCTGACCTCTAGGGAAACACGCCAGCACTCATTTCCCCATTAATTTTTCCGTAACTTGGGTCGGCGCTTGCTAAGCAACTCGAACGATGACGCCCAGAGAAGAATCCCTGCATCACTGAGTGCGAAGAATAGATGGGAAATCTGGAGTATACAGCACGGCTGCTCTTGATTGGCGTAAGTTGGATTCTCCGCATAGGTACACTGCCTAACTGTGGCTAACTACCTACCGGTAACTACCCCAGGATTTGATCGCAAATCCGGGGATTGCGATCACAAGAACTAAGTCATGAACTTGTCGTCCAACCATGAACTTGGTCTCTCGACTTTCCACAATCGTGTTTCGTTCTCGAAACGGCGTGTTTCATTCTAAATCTCAATCCAAGACTCCAAGACCTAGAACTACGGCACACCTCGGGCCTTCCCATCGGCCCGCAATCACATGACTGCCATCTATCTGTGGAAAACAAGACCTTCAAAGGGCGTATTTCTGCCCGCCACGCCTTCGAATTTGCTTTTTACATGGCTTGGCCGAGCAGGTTCAACTCCTTGAAAGGGCCAGATGTAAAACAGCATAGGTACTACAAGCAGGTGAGCCGGACATAAATTCCGGTGATTTGCATCGATCTGTTCATCGATCTCGAATTGCTATTTACTTTGATGGTACTATCGTTGCAAGCTGGATCGGACCGTCAGACGCGTGAGACGTCTCCACAGACTACTCGATTGACTTGCCTGCCGGTTGTCCGTACGCTCGTGTAATGACGTTACAACAGACTTAACTTTCCAAATTCCTTGACGATAGGCGCCTGCCTCTTCTTATCCACCTCCTGCAAACTATCCCAGAGTGTCGCATCACCCCCAGTAGGTTTCAACTCTCCATCTACACCATGAATTGCCACGGCGCTATCATCCGCACTGGGTGCCAAAGCAGCTGCAGGATACAATTCCCCTACAGCTTTCTTACATCCTTCAACCACTTCCTTGGCAGCATTGCTCACTGCATCTGCGCGCTCCCTCATGCCCCTTCTGATCAAGCCCTCCACTAGCCTTTGAATCTCATCTTGCATGCTGTTGAGACGCTCAATCAGTCTTTCGATGGAATTTGTGAGATATTCTTCCTCATATACCGTCCCCTTCTTTCCCCGTGCTCGCTTGCGCTCCTCGCGCCTCTTGTTCTTGCTTGTCTTGCGTGTGGTTGTAGTGTTAACTGTTCCGGTTTGATTGGTATACCGTGTCATGAACGTGCCACCGGATGTTGTATCTGTCGGCGCGAGGGAAATGTTGTCAGGAATATTCGCACCCGCATTCTCATCCAGTCCTTCGTAAAATGCCATGGGATCTTCTGTCTTCTTCGTGCGCAGATCGTGCAGGCGCGGGACTTGGGCAAGCAATTGAGACTTCATTTCTGCAAGAAATTCGGTCATTCTGCGCTGCGCTCAACGAGGGCCGGGTCAATGACGGAGGTGAGTAGGTCGGATTGGCGACGTAAAGTGACGATGCGGATTGCTTCGGCGAAGTGGCAGCCACGACAGAGGAGGCGAGCCGCGGAAGGAAGGTCGGAGAGGTAGTCTAGAGTGAGATTGGAGGCCGAGAGGTAGTCTTTTGATTCCGTGAGACCTTCTGCAAGCGATGAAGCGATTGACACGAGCTCTTCTTCCGAGACGCCTGCGAGCGTAGCGGAGGAAAGGGCTTCGCGCCATAGGTTGGCAGAGCGATAACATGGCCATGCTGAAGAGTAATCATCGAGGAACTCGTATGCTAGTGCTGCTTCCTTGTGGTTATTGTTTGCGCTAAGATGGTCGGCGTAGAAACGCATGATCTCCTTTAGGCGGGAAGTATCGTAGTGGTAGATGCTAAGTGCCTCCGAGTAGAGAGCGTGCTTCTGCACGTATTCGAGGACCTCATCGAAGACCTGTAAATCTCTGAGGTGCAAAAGCGCTTTGGCTCGACGACCGAGTTGATCGTCAATTGTGAATTGCCGTCGAAGAGTAGACATATCTTGCAGCGACTGTAGGTGAGGAAGATACTCTCGAGGATCCTGTAACATGTCAGACTCATACCGGACACGATCATGTGAGATAAATACTTTTTGTGATTGCTGTGCAATAAGAAGAGTAAGATCAAGGTTGTATAGACCAAGTGACGTGTCGTAAAGCTGGTTCACGTCGGCAAGGAAGCAGATGTGCTCAGCAGCCTTGTCTGTGAGCGGGTCTTGGATTGCTGAAAACTAGTCAATATGATAGTAAGACTGCACAAATCAACCGGATTACCTTGAAGTCGTCCTATCATTTCGAGACCGTTCTCAAGAGCCGGTGGTACCTTGGAGACGTGCGCTGTTATAATGTTCTGTAGATGCACGTCTTTGTACTGCGACTGTTCGAGCACGGCCAAAAATGTATCACAGATGCGATTGACTTTGTTGGCTATTTTGTCTTGTGATAGATGTGATTTGGTGTCTAGCTCTTTGGCCTTGAGAGTTTCCTTGTACATCGTTTCTGAAACATCCTCATCACTACCCACCATTAGCCAATGCGCGCAGCAAAAGTAATCATTCACGTACCGAAGTTGGGCCAGAAGTAGGTCGATATGTTCAATCTTCTTGATCTGTATCACAATCTTCTCGATGTTAGCCATAAATCGCTCCGGATCATGGTCGTGCAGAATGTTCATGTCGACGCGTTGGTTTCGGCAAGTAAGGAATGCCTCGTCATATTGCTCGGCTTCGATATTGCGGCGGATGGCAGCAAGTACGAGTGCTCGTGGGTAAATCGTCTCAAGATTACCTCTTGGCATCTGCAAAACTACCGAGTAGACTGTTGGCATGACCGCGACTAGTTTGGCACCGCGTTCGATGCTCCTACATCGTTCGTCCTTTTGAGGCTCATCGGCTGGTACTTCAAGTTCTCCTGATTGTTAGCTAGATGCAATACTATATTAATAGTTTTACGGACCTTCTGCAGTACTGAGGTGCACGAATTTGAGTAAATGTTGCGTAGTCGTGAAGATGAGATGGGCTGACGTGACTACAAACGACGTGCAGTTTCGTGCCAATACTCTGTCATTGGCGTAAAGAATGCCACTTTTTGTCAAGCCAAACGCCAATACCTGTAGAAATCAGCCATATACAAAATTGCATGGAGAAATCAACCGCATACCTGTCCCTCCACATGTGCAACTTGAACCTCAGCGCAGAAGGTGGGTAACTTCTGGACCAAAGGGGTCTGTGGAGACATGTCTTCTGTCATGTCTACTTGATGCAAAGCTCCATTCTGAAACTCTGTGTAGATAGCGGAATGGTCTACACTGGAGAGTAGCGAGGAGACATTCTCTGTCTCCATGATTGGTCCATGGGGAACGACATCTGTACCCTCGCTACGCCAAAGGAAGGCTTCTTCTTCATCCCAATTATCAATTAATACGTGAATGCTCTCGTTCCCGAAGAAGGCGACGTGACGTGGCGAATAATCTTTGAGAGCATCGCTGCGCCAAACTGGTACGGGCTTCGGTATAGGCCGCTTGTGCATGTCAAGAGCGTAGACGGCAAGTTCGCAGTTTGAAAGTATTGCCAAACGAGTTCCCGATTTCGACAGCGCTACATCAACCGGTACTGATTCAAGCGAAAGTGTTTGTAATGCCATTGGAGGCGGTACATTGGCAAGTCTTAGCGGCGTGAGCTTTAGTGTTACTGGCACAATTAATCTGTGGTTCGTAGACAAAGCCCGTAGTGCAACTTACATCCATCGATCGACGCGATCATACCAAAATCGTTGGGCGGCACGGTTGAGCCAGCGGCGACGGTTGAGGCATATTCCAGTATTTGCAGTGCATCTGTTAATAATCTGGTCAGTAAAAACGAGTGTTATGCATCTCTTGCCACGTACCTGCAGTCGATATAGCTAGCGCCAATGGCTTCTCAGCGTGCCATGTACATGCTATCGGCTTTGTACTAGCTTCTTGAAACGGCAGTTCCTGCTTGAGATAGTAGTGGTAGTTGCTCATGGTCCATAATTGCACCTTATCAGGGTAGGCGACAGCAAGAACACTAGAATCGCTATTCCACTTGAGTGCGAGGGGCATCTTTAACTCATCCAGCGATTCTTGACTGAGACGCAGATCAAATTGGCCGTGGCGTAGACCGTTTCGCTCGAAAAAGACGACTTCCATCTTGTCACTCGACCGTTTGACACCAGCAATAAGATTTCCTGAGGGCCGCCAGCTGAGCGCCCCTTCCAGGCCATCCACTGGTTCGCTTACACTGTCAAGTTGTCCTTCTCTTGAGTAGACCCGAATCATGCGACGTCGGTCTTCATCAACTTTGCTGACTGCAAAGTAGGCACCATCGCCTCTCCAGCTGATTGTGACGGATCGATCATCGAGAGCGCTGAGCACACCTTCGTCGACAGACTCTGGTACGGTGGGATCTTGCAGTGCCCTTGCTCTCTTGCCCTTGAACTGAGTTTCCTTCTTCCCCCAGCCTACGGAAACATGGTTTGAAACATTGACATCCTCGGGAGCGAGATTGATGCTGGCGATGTTTTCAATATCTCGACTCATCAACAGGAGTGTGTCGGCGAGAGTGGTGATTGCGAGTAGTTCCTCATCTGGAGACCAGGCTGCCGCCGATATTCCAGCGTCTACTGAGCCCACAATCTCTACCAACTCTTCATTCGCCAGCGGATTCTCCCTCACAAGGACGATGTCGCCTCCGGCCAGTATCAAACATGACGTGGCTGTATCAGAGAAATGTTGCAGGCTTAACACTGAGTCATGGGTAAGCGAGGGCAATGGGCACGGCGCATCCCACGACGCAATGTTCTCAAGGCGTTCCTCTGCACCGTTGCGCGTGTAATGTAATCGCTTGAGTTCGATGGTCGCACGTGATTCGGAAGGGCCAAAAGAACATATCAAGGCGTTGGTCGCGGGATCCCACGCAGTTTCAGTGAGGGGCAATGGCTCTTCTCCCGAGAATCGCAGGAGCGACCTCGTCACGATTTTGAGGTTTCGCATTACCAAAGGTTTATGGGTTGCATGTGTGAAGTTGTGCGTGTGATTCCCTTTCTCTACCAAAGCAACTGCTATGAGTGGTCCACGAAATTTCCAAGCTAGCCGAAGTTTTGCCAAGAATCGCATTGTCGAGGATGCCCAATGGAGCGGGCATCCAAGTCACAGATGCTAGCAAAGATGCGATAGCCTATGAGCCTGCGGCATGCATTGTCAATTAGTAAGTCGACTTCTGTATAGATAGGAGCCGTGCATGTTAGATAGTCGCTTCACTCATGCAAGGTAAGGAAGGGCATATGGCGTCATTTAACTGGAGATTAGCACTGTTCGATTGGTGTTGATGCACCTGCCATACAGCAGGATAAAAGAATCAGAATAGTCCATGCAATTGGTGGTATAGTGTCTATACAGTAAATCGCATGAAGTCCCTCTATACTACAAGTTCCATGCCCCTCCAACGCTTGAGGGCCATGCCCAGACCGCTGCGCGATAGACCTATTTGTTCTTCTTTGTTTGCCACACTGTGTTTGGACAGCGATTAGCCTAGCCTTGGGGGATGTTTGTCTCATGTAGGATGTCTTACCAGCCAGGAGGAAGGGAATCGAGAATCCAGTAGCTGCGACTTATTAGCCGTGACCCTCACATTGCGTCCAGGCCAGACCCACCCATGAATCCCCAGTACTTGAAGGCAAATCCCTTCTTCAGAGGGTCGAATGGCAAGTTGCTTCGTGGGCCCTCGGGATAGTGGTATGGGCTGGAGAGCTGGGCGCGGGTGGACTGGAAGCCGCGGCGGGCGACAAGCGTTGGGGCCGAGGCGGCGCGGAAGGTAGCACGGGCAAGCATCTGTAGAAGTTAGATATGAAGTCGATTGCGTTATCCTCATGCGTACTTTGGGGTTAGATTTGGTGGAGAGTGGAGATTGTTGCGAGCAGACTCGATGTCCGCGGTGGTTCGACTCTTACTATTCGAAGTCACAGCGATGTGATGTCTTGGCACGTGCACGGTCCAGGCGAGCTAACAAGACGATTCCATTGACCTTTTTTGACCAGCGTCTCAGTTATCATTGCTTACTGCTTTTGCACATACCTAGTAGAGACAAAGTCAATCCCACTGGTCGGCTCCCCGCTCAGTATCATCATCGGCATAGTCGCCTGCAGTTTGTCTAGGACATACCACTACGACTGGCGACGAGAAGTCCCAAAGCATCATGGACGATTTGTTCGACGTCTTCGATGGCGGCGCTGCCAAAGACACTGCGCCCAAGAAGAGTAAGAAGCGCCAGGCAAATGGCGCCGTCAAGTCGCCTGTTTCTGCGCCCGCAGAGGACACGCAAATGGGGGATGCGCCCGAAGAAGAGCCCGCAGCACCCCCAGCCGAGACCTCAGAGCAAACGCTCAAGCGACAAAAGCGCGATGCTGAGCCCGAGCCAATTGTGACCGACGACTTCGAGACGGAACAGTCGCGTGAGATTGCTGCGGCCGCTGGACTGCAGGCGCAACAAGATGGGCAGGCGGTGGTGTTGTCACATCAGGTCCGCCATCAGGTCTCGCTGCCACCGGATTACGACTATGTACCCATTTCTGAGCACAAAGCCCCCGCCGAACCCGCACGCGTATGGCCTTTCACGCTCGATCCTTTCCAGCAAGTTTCCATCGCCTCGATCCAGCGGAACGAGAGCGTTCTCGTATCGGCGCATACATCTGCCGGAAAGACGGTTGTTGCCGAGTACGCCATTGCGCAATGCCTGAAGAACAACCAGCGAGTCATCTACACCAGTCCCATCAAGGCGCTCAGTAACCAAAAGTACCGAGAGTTCATGGCAGAGTTTGGTGACGTCGGTCTCATGACGGGCGATGTCACCATCAACCCCACTGCGACCTGTCTGGTTATGACCACGGAGGTAGGTACCTGGGTAATCTAAGAGAAACTGGCAACTGATAGTGGCAGATTCTGCGTTCCATGCTCTACCGAGGCTCCGAGATTATGCGCGAGGTAGCTTGGGTCGTATTTGACGAGGTACATTATCTGCGCGACAAGTCAAGAGGTGTCGTTTGGGAAGAGACGATTATTCTGCTACCAGACAAAGTCCGCTACGTATTCCTTTCCGCCACCATTCCCAACGCCATGCAATTCGCCGAATGGATCACCAAAACCCACAGTCAGCCGTGTCACGTCGTATACACCGATTTCCGACCGACCCCACTGCAACACTACTTCTTCCCGGCAGGCGCGGATGGTATACATTTGGTTGTCGACGAGAAGGGCGTTTTTAGAGAAGAAAACTTTCAAAAGGCCATGTCGTCCATCGCAGATAAGGCCGGCACTGAGGCGTCGGATTACCTGGCGAAGCGTAAAGGTAAAGGCAAGGACAAGAAGACAAACAAGGGGGGTAACAAGGATCAGACGGACATCTATAAGATTGTCAAGATGATCATGATGAAGAGCTACAATCCGGTCATTGTGTTCAGTTTCAGCAAGAGGGACTGCGAGAACTATGCGCTTTCTATGAGCCAGCTCGCGTTCAACGACGAATCTGAAAAGGCCATGGTGTCAAAGGTCTTTAGCAGCGCCATCGAAATGCTGTCCGAGGAGGATCGCCAACTACCACAAATCCAGCACATCCTCCCGCTTCTCCGGAGAGGCATCGGTGTTCATCACTCTGGACTGTTACCCATTCTGAAAGAGACCATCGAGATATTGTTTCAGGAAGGTCTGATCAAAGTCCTCTTTGCGACCGAGACTTTCTCCATTGGACTCAACATGCCGGCAAAGACAGTTGTCTTTACTAGCGTTCGCAAGTTCGACGGAGTGTCGCAACGATGGGTTACACCTTCCGAGTTCATCCAAATGTCTGGTCGTGCCGGTCGTCGTGGTCTCGATGACCGCGGTATTGTCATCATGATGATCAATGAGCAGATGGAACCCGCCATAGCAAAAGAAATTGTGCGCGGACAACAAGACAACCTTAACTCAGCTTTCCATCTCGGCTACAACATGATTCTCAATTTGATGCGTGTTGAAGGCATCTCACCTGAATTCATGCTTGAGAGGTGTTTCTTCCAGTTCCAGAATACTGCTGGTGTATCGAACCTCGAGAAGGGTAAGTAACCTCTGCTGTTCGAGTATGACAGTACTAACTACAGTGATAGAATTGCAAGAGCTTGAAGCTGAAAAGGCGAACATCATTATTACAGACGAGGCCACGGTCAAGGATTACTACAACCTGCGACAGCAACTAGACACACATACGCAAGACATGCGCGACGTGATTATGCATCCGACACACTGCTTACACTTTCTACAAGCGGGTCGATTGGTGAAGGTCAAGTTCAAGGACCATGACTTTGGTTGGGGCGCTGTCGTAGCGTACACACCGCGAAAAGCGAACAAAGGAGAGGTTCTCCCGCCTCAGCAATCATACGTGGTAGATGTTCTCTTAGCAGTTGCGAGTGACACTACCTTCATGCCTCAGGCTGGGGACGGTCTCCCACCGGGTGTACGACCACCAGCTCCTGGAGACAAGGGTAAGATGGAGGTTGTGCCCATCCTACTGAGCTGCATCGAATCGATTGGCCACCTGCGCGTGTTCCTACCGAACGAACTCAAGTCGACCGAACAGAAGAACAACGTGCGCAAAGCACTGGGCGAAGTGAAGAAGCGCTTTCCCGACGGCATTGCGATCTTGGATCCCATTGAAAACATGCAGATTAAGGACGATAGTTTTAAGCGACTGCTCAGGGTATGTACTTGTTCCAAGAGATCCGAATTCTTGTCACTGACCATGCGTAGAAAATCGAAGTGCTCGAGTCGCGCCTCCTGTCAAACCCTCTTCACAACTCGCCTAGATTGCCCGATCTGTACAGCCAGTATGCGCATAAGATTGCCATTGGCGAGAAGATTAAGAAGATCAAGAAGGATATCGCAAACGCTTTGTCGGTAATCCAGTTGGACGAGTTGAAGAGCAGAAAGCGAGTGCTGCGTCGCATCGGTTTTATTGATGATGCAGATGTCGTTCAACTGAAGGCCCGTGTGGCTTGCGAAATCAGCACCGGCGACGAACTCGTACTCAGTGAATTGCTCTTCAACCGCTTCTTCAACGAGTTGACGCCCGAGCAGTGCGCTGCCTGCCTGAGTTGTTTCATCTTTGAAGAGAAAACTACTGATACGCCTGCACTGAAGGAGGAGCTGGCTAAGCCTTACCGGGAAATACAACAGCAAGCGCGGGTGATTGCAAAGATTTCGCAAGAGAGTAAACTTCAGATTGACGAAGAAGCGTACCTGAAGACTTTCAAGTACGAGCTCATGGAGGTTGTGTACGCCTGGTCCAAGGGGGCGTCGTTTGCAGAAATCTGGTATGTTTGCAGCCCTACGCCTCCGTTGCAGGATACTGACTAGGGATAGCAAAATGACGGACGTGTACGAGGGCAGTCTGATTCGTCTGTTCAGGCGATTGGAAGAACTGCTCCGACAAATTGCACAAGCGTCCAAAGTCATGGGCAGCGAGGAGCTCGAGCAAAAGTTCACTGCAGCGCTAGACCTTGTCAGACGGGACTTGGTAGCAGCGCAGTCCCTGTATCTCTGATTCAGACAGCATCTTGGCATTTGTATAGCATGAGGTCCTCTCTGGAGGATTTTAGATAGTTGGGCAGCATCTTTGGTTTACGAGGTAGGTACGATACGGATACGGCACTTGCAGCGGCGTTTGTTCCCTCTTCTTCGGCTGAATGATGGCGACCTCAGCGCCACCCGACCGAACCAGTGTCTCAGGAGTTTGCGCAAAGGACGCACCGGCGGTGCTCGCGTGTGCCTGAAGGCGCGTTGCCGGTGTTTGTTCTGAATAGAATTTACTAGATCTGAAGTTGTGAGAGTCTTCACGGCGAAAGATCCCCCCTTCCTAGCTCTGTCCAGCTCTGTGCCATGTTTGGACGTTGACTTTGGTTTGGCGATGTGAAGACTGACTCTATTGTGCATGTATAGCGTCATTTGCTGGTAATCTATGCTGCTGTACAGAGAAACCTAGGTACAAAACTACCTATAGCAGCGTCGTCATCCATGTGTGGGACGGGGCATGGATGTAAACGTACCGGTAAACCGAGAGAAATCCGTTGTGAAAGCGCAAAGAAGAGGCAGATGCCCTACTAGAGTAAACAGGGAGGTAGACGGTGAAGTCAAGTATACAATCAACACACTAGGTAGCCATCCCGGCTGGGCTGGCAGATCAAACTCTACTCTACTGTCACTGTCACAGAGGGATGAAAGATGACAGTGGGTTGGCGTGGGAGGTGATTGGTGGCTTAGGCTGGTCTTGGCGCGCTTGGGCGTTGGCGCTGTGTCTGGCTGGCGGGCATGGGGAAGGGCTCAAGGCTGGCTGGCTGGGCTGGCTCGCTCTCCCTCTTGCCTGTCTCCACTGTTAACCAACAACACAACACACACCCCGACACCGCTCTACCCAGACCACCACCCGCCTGACCCCCGACGCAGCAAGACGCTTTCCCTACGTCGCCCTACGTCGCCCTACGTCGCCCTACCATCGCCGCACAGGCTGCACCGCCCGCTTCCGTCACTTGCAGACGGCTGCTTCCAACTGCGTTTGCGGGGCCCACCGCCAGCATGAATGTCCAGTACTCTAGCTTTACTCCTCCCCATCTCTTGAACAAGCTTCGCTGCTCTCCAACCAGGAACAGTACGTCGCCCGCCCCAAGCAAGCCACAACGCTGCCCCAACCCCAACTCCAACGCTCAACTTCAATCTCTCCACTTGCAGTTTTGCGTTCACTCATCGCACACCCACTGACCTGAAACCCCCCCTTGCCACAGTTCTCTCGCCACAGCCAGCCATGTCGGGTCGCAAGCGGAAAACGGAAGATGATGGCAACAGTGGAGAAGATGATCGCATGAGTGCTTCCCCTTCGGCCTCTCCCGCCGTCCTCCCACGCCCGGCGCCACGAGGCATGAAGCGCATGCGTACCAATCTATCCGGCCGCCCACTGCCCCTCCCACGCCTTCTCGAGACCCTCAGCGCCGACGAGATGCGCAACCTGCTACAGTCCATCTGCCAGCGCCACCCTGATATCGGCAACGAAGTCGTCACCACTGCACCGCGGCCCAGCACACAGTCGACACTCGAAGTGCTTGGCAAATATGAGTCGTCGTTCCAGGCTGCTTTCCCCTTTGGCGGAAAGCCCTCATCAGACTACGCCTATAACAGAGTGCGGCAACAACTTGTCGAGCTGCTGGAGTCGCTCAAGGACTTCACGCCCCACTTCCTTCCCCCAAACGAACAGCAGCCCGCCACGTCACTCGAATTCCTGGACGGCGCAACCCATTTCATCCACCGTCTACCGAATTGGGACACATATCAGCACAACCGACACAAGGAGGAGGCGTACGAAGAGATGGCCAAGGCATGGGCTATTGTCATTCGGGAGGCTGCCAAGAAAGCGGGAGGCATACAATTGCAATACGGTGGATGGGATCAAAAGATTGCCAAGCACAATGAATTGTCGAGTGGGAAGATGCAAGAGGCCGTCAACGAGTTGCGTGGAGGCTTGGGCTGGATGGGCACCGAAACGACGAATACAGGGCCAGCCGCTGCCGATGCCATGTCCATTCGACAGCAGCTGCTGAGTGGGAACTATGGTAGCGGTTCTTCGGCAAGCATAGGTGCATGGTAGATGCCACTGCCAACGGATGCGCTAGATTCCTTGCTGCCGCGAAGAATTCTGTTCGCTGTACATGGTAGACACTCCACCAAGTCTCCACGAAGACATCAATCACCACCCTACCACATCAGCCACTCCGCTCTACCCACGCGTCTCTCGTCACCCATCAGCCATCCATCCCTCGCCTTCCACAAACATCTCACGGCCTCGTCCAAACACCCAAAGAAAGATACCACATTGTATGGGCGACCTGCCCCTTGACGATAAACGACTGCATAGCGTTCTTACTTCTAGCATACAATATCCTTCCTGCCTCGATTCGCACACACACATCCACACATACGCATGCTTCTCTGTTGCTTTATACATGCTTTTTCTTTCTCACGGCGTACATTTCGGTTGCAAGCCAATTTTTTTGAGAGGGCTTATGGGTGTTTTTTCATTTGTCACAGTCGGAAAAAGCACCCATTGTCTGGGTTTGACTTTGGCTCTGGTTGGCTTTTTTGCTTGGGGGAGGTGGGGGAAGGGGGGCATGTTGCAGTGTTTTTAGTTTCTGGGCTCACATTTTTTTTTCCTTTCCTCTTTCCTCTCTCTCTTTTCTCTCTGTGTCTCCTATGTCGATGGCTTGTGTGGATGAGATGGTATACCAGTAGTTTGGCAAGAAAGGGGGGTTCACTTTTCGCGTTGTTTGGTTGCGCTTGTGGGCTTGGACTTGGACTTGGGCTTGGATTTGGGCTGATGGGGCTGGTCAGGTCATGGTTTCACTGGTGCATACTGCGTGGATAACTAGAGCATGGAGGGCAATATTGTATATCTCGTTGGTCGGGTCGAAAGGGGGCTTGGGCGGGCGGGTGTGGTGGTAGTAGGAGGAGGAGTTGTAGTAGGAGTTGCAGTAGTAGATGTGTAGAGGACAGTGGAGGGGTGGATACGATGCTACTGCTACTATACTATAGTACTACTGGGAATAGAGAGTTTTGTTTTTGCTCCACTTTGAGTGTTGGATAGAGGTGTTAGAATGGTTTTGAGCTTGGTTTATTTGTGCTGCAGTTTTTTTGATTTTGGGGTTGTTTTTGCTGGGGATGGGGCTGGGGCTGGGAGTGTGGTTGGGATTGTGGTGCGGGGGTGTGTTGGGTGAGATATCCATGTCCTGGGGATATCTGGAGCGTGGTTTTGAACTTGGTGTATAAGGATGTTAGTCATTCAACAAAGGGATTGATTGGGATGCTGACTACTTTATCAGATAAGTTATACAGCGGCATCTAACAAGTCTAAAAGCTTCCCGTCAGACATGATATGCCCATGTTGTCTTCAGAAGACACTTGGATCAGCTCGCCGAAATAGGTGCCAGGCCCGAACAACGCAAAGGACGGGCGTGTTCACTATTCTTTTTCAAATTATTAGGGAAAGTGCGATGGAAATGCTGCTCGTGTTTCGCTCTTGCTGTTCGTGTTTAGACGACTGACCCCTCTTTTTTTGGGCTTCACTGTCACTTTCACTTTCATCTTTGCTTCACGTGTTTGAGCGGGGAGGTTGGGTATTGCTCGTGTGTTTTTTCTTTTACTTTACTTGATCTCTCGCTACTTTACTTTGACCTCCAACTCATTCCTCTCACTACTGATACACCTCTTTCTTTGACCTCGATTGTCTACTTGCGATAATGGCTGTTACGAAAGCACACCCCGGTGTGAAGGCTCATATCATTGTCAATGGTACTCGGCTTGTTGAGTTCGACGACGATGATGCGGAGGCTGGCGATAATAGAGTGAGCAAATATGTTGAGTGCCAGTCTGGTGCTGAGTTTGAGGTCCTATGCAAGGTCTCGCGACCCTGGCCTCGCTGCGATCTCGCACTCCATGTCTATTGTGATGGGAAGTGGGCAGCAGGCAGGCTCATTTGTAAGAAAGACCAGAACGGGAAGGCTGTATCAGAAACGATCAATGGGCATAATTATGGCCGCGACAATGACTGGCACCTAGAGAAGTTCTGCTTCTCCGAGTTGACTATTGGTAAGTTATGCCCAATCTTTGATGTGTCACCTAACATGGGCTAGATACTTCTGGGGCACCCACTGTCAAAGACACATCGATGAAAAAGCTAGAAGAGCTGGGCGAGATCACCCTGAAAGTTCATCGTGTCAAAATCACGAAGCCGTCAGGGAAAGTTTGTATCTCAAAAGATCATTTGGGTCTGAGTAGCGTTCCTGAGAAAGCTCTGAAAGGTCGGGCTCTCTCGCACCAGTCAAGGTAGTGCTGCCCCATTGACGAAATGAACCTCACTAATTGAGGACAAGTTACCGACCACCGACACCTGCTGAAAAGGTGAATATGTTTTCGACCAAATGTTTGGACGATAGAAATAAGCCCATGGCAACCTTTACTTTCAAGTATCGTTCTAAAGGTTTGTTGCACATATTTACACATTTGAAACTACACCGCTAATCTCAGGTCCACAACAGTCGCCCTTCAGTCGCTCCTTATCATTCCACGGACACCTAGTCCAGTCCCACTCGAAGAGAGAGAACTCGATACATTGACACCAGAAGAGTCGCTTGAACTGATCCGCCGAATGCGTGAACGCGAATTATCATCTGTTGCTATCAAACGCGAAAGGATGAAACGCGAACACAGTTGCGAGAGAAACGGCACTGAAATTAAAGCAGGAGACAGCGTTAGTGGTGAGAAATCATTTGTCTCGAGCAAGCGAAGATGCCTGCCAGCCACTATCAACAAAGATGGTTTCGAGATTATTGACTTGACTTGATGGCAGCTTTCTTCCAGGTATCGTGCACAAGTGGTCTGCGTGGCTGCATTCTGTGGACCTATGTCTGGCTTCGGCGTCGCCTCTCTTTGGCTAGATTATCTCTCCGCCATGGACCATCGGAATATATTGGGATTATTCTCGAAAAGCACAGCTCTTAGATACGTTTACCATTCCTTGATGTCCTGGTGAGGTGATTTCAGAGTACGGTGAAGATTATGGCAGATATGGTGCTCCATCACGGTGACTCTTCTAAATGAAAATTTAGACCATATACGTGACAGAATAGCTGAAGCATTGAGTAACTATTTGACTAAAGAATCAATGAAAGAGTTGATCCCAAAAATGCAACTTCTACCCTGGTGAGCGCAATAGCATCATGGCCAGGAGGAAGGGGAAGGTGCTATCATCGAACCGAAGAGCAACTGCTTTTTCAGCCCATTCATACGATGACGATTTAGAAGGAGCGAGTGCATTCACAGGAATGACTGGCAACTAAAAAATTCTCAGCAATGCCCAACCATTCTTGCCGCACCCACCTATTCACTCTCACCGAAAGATAAGCTCCATCACTGCGAGACGCGGCTTCGTCCTCGATCTATCTGCCATAGAGCACTTCTTGCTCTTCCTACTTTGACACATACCTGCAACAAAACTACGTCTCTTCAACATGGTGGTTCACGCCTTACACCCTCAGCTCAAAGCCGAAGTGATTGTGCACGGAGTTGCACTGTCAGAGTACGACGATGTTGAGAAAAAGAGGCCAGCTGGACTTGGTACGAAATACATTGAAGCCGAGCTAGGAGCCATTTACAGTGTGAGTCTCTGACATTGCAATATAGACGACGACGACGACGATGATGATGATGATGATGATGATGTATCCGAAAAGGAAGTACGGAAGGCTATGGCCTCAATTGGAACTATCGAGTTGCTCTTCCACATGGTCACCAACATACAAAGAAATAAGAAACTTGGAAGATACACTAGCATTGCCAGAATATCAATCGGTGTCGGACAAACTTGTCCAAGACTCGTGCATATCCTTGAAGACAATGTAGGGTCACCTCCAACCACTCAACGTGCGCTGATAGATCTACGCAGGCTTGGCCCAATGCGACTGACCAGACCTCGAACCTACTCCAGTGTTGATCATGTTCATGGAGAAGATCACCCGTTCGCAACGATTAGCTTCAAGTAGCGCTCCCGAGGTCAGCACACCAGTTCAGAAAGTAACTCTCGTTTTCACTAACAAAATCATGCAAGATGACTTAAAGTCACTCAAGATAATCTCACGTTCACCGAGCCCTGTACCTCTTGAAGATTGGCCAACGAAAGACTTATCTCACCAGGAGATGATAGAACTACTCAACCGTTACAAGGTGAGCACACACTCAGCATGTAATTGCCTGATCATCGATAATAAAACTCAAGGCAAAGGATGCACGAGCCCGAAAGAGGAAGCGCGATCACACTGAAGAAGATGAAGTTGTTGTGATCGAGACAACGAAACGCAAGAAACGCTAGCGTGCGACACGCTAGGAAGAAGGCCAATGTACTGGACTCATGGGATGATCAGAGAGCTCAGACATGGACGGTGTTGCGACGAGGGAATGAGCTCAGGATCGGCAGTGTCACAGCTCAAGCTGTGCTAAAGCGTCGAAGTCCTCAATGTTTTGGGTGCTACTTACCAAGAACAAAGGCTACCTGGATTTACGATTTATCCTCCACATAGTATACATGTTGGCGTTTATAACAATCTCCTGGGTCACTAGGCTGAAGTTTCTTCGGTGATTTTCCCAGAAATCCCTACACAATTCTCATCACTCGTCCATTCTTTCCAGGAAAAGAAAAGTCAAATTGCGCTATCACATCAGATGGGCACATTAACAGATATCGGTGTCTTGTAGAGCGAGGAGAGAAGCAGATTAGCAGGAATTTTACACTGTAATTTCTTACTGATACCGCTTATCCCCTATTCACTGCTACCCTTTACCAACACTTAGTACATCTTAGCCATGATCTCTTTCCAAGCCCATTCCGCCCATCCCTCACCACTCTCGTCCCAGCCGGAAACACACACCCACCGGCACCGCCAATACCAGCGACCCCGCCTTAGCCGCAAACACCTGCAACGTCGACACCAGCCCCGACGAAACTAGCGCATCGCAACGAGACCTCCCCAGCGCCCCCGCAATCCCCCCCTCACCCGTGAAAAACGCATCCAGCCCCACCATCGCCGCGTACAACTCACTATCCGACAGCGTAGCCTGCGCGCGCTATAGCACCGCGGCGTTGCGCTCCGGGTATTGTTCAGCGGGGCAGCGCTTTGTGAAAGCGAGGTGGTCGGCAAGGGTGAAGATGAGGTTTGGTTTTGTGGCGAGGGTGGCGAGGTAGGTGTTTATTGCGACTTTCAAGTCTGTGTCTTGGGGTGATTTGGCGGGCAGGGAGGGGGAGGGCTTCGTAGGTTTGGGCACCGGGGATGGGGATGTTGGGGATGATGGTGGTGCTGGCGTGGTGGAGGCGGGACAGGAGGCGGGTGGATTGTGTGGCTTTGTGGGCGGGAGGTGCGTGGAGGCGGGAAGGCTGGGGAACCCGATGCGGATGCCGGTGAGGTTGGGGGTGGAATTGGCTGAGTGGAAGGCGCGGGTGGGAGGAGTTTGGTGGCTTCGGTGTGGTGGGTGCATTCTAGGATGATGGTGGTGGAGACGAGGATGGCGGCTGTGATACTGCGGGTTAGGAGGCCTACGGTGTCTTGCCGTTTTGAGGCGTGGAAGAGGTCGGAGGAAGATTGATTTGTACATCATCGCCATGC